CGTCTAGATTCGCCACGGATGCTTTTCCGCAAAAAGTGCTTTTGTGGAAAAGCGTCCGTGCCAATCTAGACGCTCTTTTCCAAAAATGCTTTTAATGGAAAACTTTTCCGTTAAAAGCATTTCTGGAAAATCATGCCAGTCTAGACATAGCCAAGAAGTAATTCTATTTTATTCAGCACTGATAAGGCCTCAGAGTATTCTGTCCAGTTCTCGGTACTGCATTTCAAGAAAGATGTTGACAACTAAAACTATTAAAGGTCTAGAAAACATGACCTATGAGAAAAGATTGAAAACAATGTGTTTTGTTTAATCTGGATAAGAGAAGACTCAAGGAGAACAAAAGTCTTCAAGGTTGTAAAAAGTTATGAAACAGAGGGTGATAAATTGTTCTTAAAAGAACAGTAAAAGAAGTAATGTGCTTAAATGGCACCCTTGAAAATTTAGGTTAAACATTAGGAAAAACTTCCTAACTGTATGGATGGCTAAACTCTGCAATAAATGATTTCAGGATGTTGTGTAATCTCTGTCATTAAAGGTTTTTGAGGACATGGTCTACATATTACTTAATTTGCCTCAGTGCAGCAGACTAGATAAAATGACATATCAAGATCACTTCCCAGTCCTAAATTTCTATGGTTCTATGATCTAGGATACCACTTTAAATGAATCAGTTTTTAGGTGCTAATAGATTATCTGTTGTTTTCCAGTTTTTCCAGTTACATAAATACTCAGCTTTCTCTTTGATACTTTTCTACCCTCTGCCTCTTTCTGTCTCTCCCGTTTCCATTTCTTTTTCCTTCTTCTTGCTCCCCTCCCTTCCCCTCAATTATTTTGGTTTTGGACATCCAACACTCTGGTCATCTGAAGAAGTGGGCTGTGCCCATGAAAGTTCGTGATACCATCTACATATTTTGTTAGTCTTTTAAGTGCTACCAGACAATTTGTTGTTTTTTAAGTTTTTTCTGTTACAGACTAACTAGGCTACCCCTCTAAAGTAATTAATGTTTAGCAGTCAGTAGTACATGTGACATAGTTACAATGAACCATAAAACAAGTATCTCTGTTCTGTGAAGTTTATGGTATTTAGTGTCCAGCAAAGTTATGAATCTTGTTGTTGGAAGGTTTGTGCAAGTCTCCTTTGAGGATGAAGATTGAGAAGTCAGATATAGAGTGAGTAGTCTGCGAAAAGTGTTCCTCTCCCACAGGTAAATTGGTGTGGGTGTGTCATTTCTTGTTTTCTGTGTGAGTTCATTCAAGAGCATAGTGATTGTTTTGTTTCACACATGTTGTCATGAGGGCATTTAGTGTACTGGATGAGGTACACCGCTTGTGATAGGCATGTGTAAGACTCATGGATCATGAAAGGGGTAGTATGTGAGGTATTGATTATTGTTGCACTGAAGATATGTCTAAAAGTTTTGCATCTGTTGTTCTAGCAAGGTCTGGTGCCAATTTCAGTTGCTGTGTCCTGTTCAGTGGGGAGCTTGCCTCTGATGTTTGAAACGGTCGTGGGGTTCTTTCTAAGAGCCAGAAAAGGAGGTTCCGAAAACATTTTTTCAGGGTGTGATACACATCAAATATGGGTTCCAATTTTGTGATTAAATCTTGTATGGTTTCTCGTATTGGGTGGTAGGTGACAACTCCCTCAAAACACCTAATCACAAGTCGGGATGTGGTTGTTATGGATAGTGCCTTTGTTGTTGTGAAAGAATTCCTGGAGGTAGAATCAGTAGAAAAATTCTAGTTCGCCACCTGTTAGTGTGGTGCTAAGGTTTTCAGTAGGGCAGAAGCTCATTCTCTTGAAGAGTACATAAACCTCAGCTCTAGTCAGGCTAGTCTTGACAAGTTATTGATGTTGGAGTAGTGTTCAGAAGGCAGGCTTTGATGTTGTGGCTTCTCCCAGATGAGATGTTCTGTTCATTGTGGAGTTGTACTTGGTTCAACTTTTTGTTTTGTTTTGTTTTCAATGGCAACAAACAATTAGATCCCATACTTAAGGGGAACCACTTCCTGAAAGAAGTATTTTTCTGAACCACCCCCCTTCTGTCCTTCTAACAGCTCCAAAACCTCGTCATCATCAGATATATTCGGGTATGTCTACACTACCCTCCTAGTTCGAACTAGCGGGGTAATGTAGGCATACCGCACTTGCAAATGAAGCCCGGGATTTGAGGAATGAGGAGTAATGGTAGTTCGAACTAGGAAGCCTAGTTCAAACTACCTAGTTCGTGCCGCGTGTAGCCGCGCGGCACAGGGTTCAAACAAGCGGGGATTTAAAAATGGCGGAGCCCCGCTTATGCAAATGATGCCCGGGAACTTCAAATCCCGGGCTTCATTTGCAAGTGCGATATGCCTACATTACCCTGCTAGTTCGAACTAGCGGGGTAGTGTAGACATACCCTTCCTTCCCACAGACAAGGGCATATCAACTCAAAGCAACACCAAACCTTGCCAGAACAATAAATGTAAAGCCATCATATCTCCACAGCTATGATGATCAACACTCCTCCAATATACCTTTCAAGATCTCTTGGTCCTACACCCTTGATTCTACCTCATGTGTTCTGTCAAAAGCACCAATTACTATATGGCTAAATCAGACAATAATAATTTTTTCAAATGAATTCTCACAGAAAAATGGGAGACTCTACTGTCTACTAACTCTTAACTGTCCACTTCATTTTAAGTTAGGGTGGGCAATAATTTTCACAGGAGGAATACTTAATGAATTTTAGTACTAGTCATGGGCTGCTCCCAGCCCACCAAAGGGGTGGAGCCTATGATGGAAGGGGTGGGGCTGAGGACTAGCCTCCCTGCAGAGTTGTCTGGGTGAGAGGCTTTGAACTAACAATAAGAGCAAAGGTCTCGCAGATCCTGGCCCCACCTCTACTGCATTGCCTGTCAGCCACCCAGAGTTGCTGCCGCTATTTAAAGGGCTTGCAGCTCTGGGCCCTGTCAGAGTAGCCAGGATCCATTTTAATAGGATCCTGCTGCCTGAGCCACCACCTAGAAATTTCGTGAGATGGGGCAGCAGGATATAAATAGAAAGTGGCCAGACGCAGTCTGTGGGCTGGATCAAAGTGTTAGGCAGGCCACATCTGGCTCCTAGGTTACATCTTGCCCAGCCCTGTTTTAAGTATTCTCTTACAATGTCAGTGAATCCCTTTCCCTTAACAATCTGTCTCCACCTGTATTTAGCTTGGATATTTTGGTTACCTTCTCCAGATGTCAAGAAGAGCTTTGTGATACTCAAAATCATCTGCCTTTTCTCCAGCAGAAGTTGGTCCAATAAAAGATGTTACCTTATGTACCCCGTCTCCCCCACACCACCACAACTACAATAACACTTCAATAGGCTTGATTTACATTCCATGCAGTGAATGTATGATGCAATAGTTAGGGTTTCAACACTCACCTAGTTACCTATCATGCCAGCTCACATTTTCTCAGCTTCTTGATTGGTAACCTGCCAGACACTAGATAGATGGTTAGATTTATTTTTAAATTCAGTCTGCTATAGGTTCTGCTTATTTAAGTGGTTTATTGATTCTTTGCAGTCCAGAATAGATCCTTTGCTGTGCTAACTCTGGATTATTATCCAGCCCAGCCAGAAATATTTTTCTGTGTTCCTTAAAGTCAATGCCATTGCCTCCTTAGTCTCTGCCTTCCTTGCATAAAAGATTTAAATGTTTTATTCTTATATGTTTTAGATTCATAGTTGAATTTAATCTCTTTTTTCCTTGAACTGAACTTGGCCTCGGTTCAGTATTTTACCGGGATCCTGATCTGCGTAGGCAGACATAACCTCATGCAGTCCCACTGAATCTGTGGGACTCTTCACAGGACAGGGTTTTATATAACAGAATTAGTCCCACGCTCCATTCCTTCTACGTGTTGCCAACAGACTTCTGGGTGAAATTCAGTGTGCCAGTTAATACATATTAATGCCCCTCACTGGCCTAGTCCAATGCTACCATGTGACTTGTGTTAATGAGGTGTTCTACAATGTTATATCCCAAGTGAGCCCACTAGGGCTGTGTCCAGACTCAGGGTTTTTTTGGGGAAAAGTAGCCTTTTTCCGAAAAAACTTCCCCTGCGTCCAGATTCAAGCCGCGTTCTTTCGAAATTAAATCGAAAGAACGCGGCTTTTCTTTCGATGGCGGTAAACCTCAATTTACGAGGAAGAACGCCTTCTTTCGAAAGTTCCTCTTTCGAAAGAAGGCGTTCTTCAATGTAAATAGGGCTTCTTCGAAATAGAGCATCCAGACTCACTGGATGCTTTCTTTCGAAAAAGCAAGCCGCTTTTTCGAAAGTTCAACGTGCAGTCTAGACGCTCTCTTTCGAAAGCGGCTCTTTCGAAAGTATCTTTCGAAAGAGCCTCTTTCGAAAGAGGCTTGCAGTCTAGACATAGCCTAAGTAGCCAGCCCATTCCTCTGCTATTCAATCCCTGCATATTGAGCACAAAGATGGTCACTTCTGGAAAGGACTGAATGAAACACCTCCCCAGCTGCTCAGGCCTTCACAGGTGATTAAATCATGGTTTCCTGGCGAACTGGCAGAGCAATAAGCAGCAGGGAGACAATGATACTGACACTTCATACTGAGATCTTAAGAGTCTTTACTTAAGCCCATGATAATAATCAAAAATAAATGTGTGTAATATTAATAATTGCTTCATTAACTAATCTGTACCATTTAATCTGTTAGATATTGTTAAAACATAAGGTCTCTCCAGTCCCAAATAGAGTGATACTCAGTTCATTGTCCTGTGACACCCTTTACTCAAAATTTATTTGGCTCTGTCACTTTCCTTTTTTGACCCTTGTTGTATCCTTTATAAATGGGTTTGACTTGCATGTGAATTAACACAGTCTCTGATACTAAAATGGATTGTGCATAGGTTTGCAATTTGTATTTTAATTGGTTAGATTTTGAAGACATCGGCTTCAGTCCTGTCAGCCTCTTGTGTTTGTATTTAGCATGGTATCTCTCTTTTACAGCCTACCCACATTGGGTGGAGAAGCTTAATGATACTCAGTTAGACAGTGGAGAACAGCTCCGATGGGAATGCAAAGCTACTGGAAAGCCACGACCCACCTACCATTGGCTAAAGAATGGAATCCCTATCGGAGCACAGGTACTGTGCTCAATAAGCCACCAGTTGATTGTAGTTTCCTCTTTAATTCAGAGAAAGTTAGCTGAGCCACCAGTTGATTGTAGTTTCCTCTTTAATTCAGCTGAAAAAAATGTTGGGGAGGAAATGCTTCAGAAAAGAGAGTTTTGCTTTTTCTGTTATTTAAAGCTTGAGAAAATGTAACACCATTTTTCCTGTGGGTCTCTCTGTTGAACTATGTCAAAGTATGTGATAGCAGGTGGGCTGTAAATTTTCACTCTCTAGCTATAATCCAAATAGGATAGAAGGTGGGGCTGGGGAGTGGGGGAGGGGGTTAAAATTTAAAATCCATGATTCTGAAATGTCTCTCCCTTATTATCAGTAAACTAGTGATATCCTTCTGAACAATCCTCAGCAACTTTTATTTGTTTCTGCTTTTGATTATGATGTTTATGGTAGAGTTGTCTATTACATTTTTGTGGGGATTTCTGTGTAGGTTCATATCGTGAGTGGCCCTTGTCTGGCTGAGCAAAAAAGCAGAACTATTCCTTGATGTGTAAGGTACACCATTATAGAGCTGATAAACTCAGATTCCCTTAAATATCAGTAGGTACATATATGTTAAATATGGCATGGTTATAGCTTATTATAGCTCCATGTTCCTCAGCCCTAACAGTGTGACTTTTTCTCAGTAGCTGTATCTGATTTATGCATCTGTAGAAATCTGATGGCTTAATAATTCTTTTGAGAAAAATGAAGCACCCCTTTTTGTGCCAATACCATTGTCCTTTTCCATCCAGGAATTCCAGTCCTAACTGCACAGAGCTTACAAGTTTTAAAAGAAGGTCTATGTTAGAATGTTTCTGTATGCAAATGACCAACATTGGCATGGTCTGGATTTTTAAGAAAAAATTCCGTCAACTGAGTCATCACCTCATCTCATGTTGTTTTATTTTTATGCAGCATATTTATATTCCTTTATAGCCTCCAAATATTAAAAGTGGTTTTAAAAAGTGTTTTAGACTCTTCATGCATTGCCAGATTAAAACAAAATTTGATAGAAAATGTCTCCATTTGTTAATGAATTCATAGAATGGATTTATGAATAAAAAAGATATGCTTTCTTTTCAGTGAATGCTTCATCTATCTGGGAAAATTGACCAATTATGCAAACAATGAGAAAGCAAATATATGAGGCAGTTTATTTTTGACATCCTGAGGCACTGCAAACAAGTTTATATACCTTAGCTTTTCCATAACTGCCTTTCTGGTGGTGGATGGAAAATCTGTCCGGACTGAAGCACTTTTGATCTCTTAGCTTTTATAGTCTTGACATTTTCCAAACAGAGAATATAAACTTCACAAATTCCATTTCACCTTGAAACTCGGGACATCAAAAAAAGAGATGTACTAATTAATCAAATATACAACTTTAAATGCTATTTTATCAAAATATTTAACTCACACTGTGACGGGGTGAGGTCACAGACGACCCCTCAGGGGTGCCTCCCAGGGTGCTGACCCGGCCACTGCCACTCGCCTTCCTGCTTTCTGGGGCTCCTCACCGCCCAGACCTGCTAGGCCAGCTCCGCTGGTCTCCCTCAGCCAAGGCCCCGAGCTGAGGTCCCTGCCCCCACCGAGAAGCAGTACAGACACTGAACCACTTCAGGTCCAAGGAGAGTGCAGTTTAGGGCCCAGCCTCCTGAGAGAGGACTCCTCAGATGGGATCAAACCCCAAAGAATTAGGTAAGCCCCCTTTAGCAATGAAAGGGGGAATGTGCACACTGGTTGCCCCCCTAGGTAACAATTGCTTACACTGGGTTTGATAGAAAATAAAAATGGCTTTATTAAGTTGAAGCAGTAGGATTTAAGTAGTAATAAGAGAAAGTAGGCAGAGCAAAGTAGGTTACAAATCAAAGGAAACAAAACCGCTTGGCTGATTCTCCACTGAAACCTCAGTGCAAACTTAAACTAACCTTAAAACCTCTTGCTTTACAACATTTTCCAGCTGCCACTTTAAACCAGGGCTTTCTTCCACACCCTGGGTTCCACTGCTCAGACTTAAGGACAAAAGATTGTTTAACAGTGGCTCATCTAGAAGTTGCAGGTAACACCCTCCATGTCTCCCATTCATACATTTGAAACCTACCAAGTATTCCACACTCCGTGTGTCTAATTTTCCACACACAAATGATACATACACCAGAGTAAGATAAACAGAACCAGTGGATTGTGACATGAAGATTGATGAGTTACACAAAATGATACATATCTCAAAACACTTTTGAGATATGTATATTCATGTCCGTAAGTCCATTTCCAAAAGCATGGGGGTTAGTGGGAGGAAGGTTCCATCACACACACCTAATATTTTTTAGTAATGAAACTGAAAAATATTGCATCAGCTGAAGTTGCTCATCAGATGGCCACTCATGTCAATGCACTTTGTTTGTGACCTGCAGCAATTATTATTGTTTGCTGAGCAATTTTTAAAAAGCAAGTTGGTATGGTAGAGCATGAAAAAAATCCCTAGTACTCAGGGATGTTGCATTTACTGTGAAATAAAATAACCCAGAAGAAAATTCACTTTTGGTCTTTTCAGACCACAAAATATTTTCTTATTCACTGAAGAACAGAAGGAAATAATCCAAAATAATCTGCGCCAGGAGGTGACTAAATTATATTTTTAAAACATTGATTTATTTTACTTTACTTTATTGTTCCCTTGTCTAAAACTAAGAACCCCGCAAACCCACCTCATTTGTTTGCTTTTGTAGAATTATTTTTTTCATTCCATTACAGAGCAGGGTTGAGATGGTTAATGGTGTACTGATGATCCACAGTGTCAATCTCTCAGATGCTGGAATGTACCAATGTGTAGCAGAAAATAAATACGGAACAATTTATGCCAGTGCTGAGCTGAAGATTTTAGGTAAGTAATGTCTGAACAGAATAGGATTACTCTCATCTCTCTTTTCAATAATTATATGGCTTCATGGTCTCTCATGAGAAAGAAAGAGAACCCACATCTCCAACCTTAGCAAAACTGGATAAAAGCTATATAATTAATTTGTCTGGATTCCTTTTTTCCTCTTTCTTTTATGTGTATGTTCTTGGTTACCTAGGGGTTCATAGGTACTTTTGCAACTAGAATATCTTTTTGGAACACCTCCTTCAGTGATGCTTAGTGAATTCTTCTCCCTTAATACTAAATTCTATATTTAGGTCAATGTGAATGGGGAAAATTCTAACTGTGCATTCAAATACACAGCCAAATTCCCCTCCCTTGACACCCACATCTTTCACCCCCGCACACCTGTGAAAATAAGCCCAAGAAAAAAAACTCTCTTACATCAAGAATGAAGAAGCTCACGTTACTAAAAATATCATGCAACTCATCAACAAAGCAAAAAAATCTATTTTATCTTTCATTGCATCCCATTGTTTGTTTGAGCATAAGATACTTGCTCAGGAAGACACTGCATCATGTGTTTTATTTTAAGCATGTCAGCATTGCTGCTGAAATCCCAAGACTACTCTAATGCTTAATTTTGGCATACGCTTATGTGGCTCCTAGAATAAAGGCCTAATATCTTATCTGACTTTCTTGGGAAAATATTGGTTGCTGATACTTCATATTTACAAGATTTAAAAAGAAAAAAAAACCAGCAACATGTGAACCTTGGCACTTATGTGTGTCTTACACTTATGACATTGGTTAAAGCACAGTAGCATAATGGATTCAACAATAATAAAGATGGAAGAATTTCAGAGGGTTCAGTTTAGATAAGCATGCAAAGTTCCCTTGATTCCTGATTCCATAAAATAAATGTATGAGGAACCATGGGATCATCTAGGCAGTGTCTATTTTCAGGGTTTAGGGACCATTGGCCTTCTCTGAACTAACTAAACTTTGTGAATCTGAAAAACTGGGCTGGAAACTTAAAGAGATTGTTTTTGCAAACCCCTACTCATCAAATAGTCCTATAGAAAACAGTGAAAATAGAATTGTTCATGTGAATAAAGGATTTTCGGATTGGGCACTTCATGAGAAGAGGCTGAAGCAAGCTGTTCTCACTATTTCCTACCCAGATGGGTCATAAAATGCTCTTTCAAGCTAATCTAACAATTCTGCTTCCCGGCCCTTCTGGTGTCAGTGCATACAGAACTACGTGATGAAAAATAACTTGGAACAGGTTTGGTATAGGGTCAGTCTTAGTTTGAAGAAAATATTTGAGTGGAGTGACCAATTGTGCAGTACTCTGAGACCACTTTGCCCAGAGAGAGCCAATAACTAACTGCTGACCCAAGCTCATATTTTCACAGCTAGTTTCTCAAAATGTTTCTTCATATCCACAAATAGATTCGGGGGGAGGGGCACTTTTCAAAATCTCCTGCCCCAAGAATTGTGAATGAGGTTCAGTCAGTTGCAAGGTCCCTTCTCATTGCAATGTTCCCTTGCTAAGGTATTTTCAGAGTGTGTTTTCATTTTTTAACATGTATTCTAATATTTCTCTGTGTTTGTGGTTGTGCAGTGAATGTATAATCCTTTGGTAATAACCTTAACATCTCACATCATGACTTTCTGTGCTACCATAGTAATGCATTAACCTAGCAGTTGCATTTCTTTTCTGGGAGGTGGGGGTGTTAAAATAAAGCATGGAGAACAAATTACATTGTCCATTTTAATAATGTTCTTAAAATTGTTCAAAGTACGGTTCTGAAACTCATACATTGTTGAAAAGCGGGGGCGGAGGCGAGCTGTCACTTTTGCTGCTGAGTGAATTTTTGGCGAGGATAAATTAACAGGTGCTCAGAACCATAGAATTAGAGAGGGATGGCTGAACTGTCACACTGAAATATTACCATAAATTAGAGTTAGACTGTAATAACCTTATTGGCATTGTTTACTACCTTACTCTTCAGACAGACCCATTGAAATCAATGGAATGTTCAAGGAATAAGATACTACTCAATACATATAAAGCTCACTCACCTAAGCTATTAGTTTTTAAACTATCTCTGAAATTGAAAAAAAAAACCTCACATTTCAGCCAAAATTGTAAACACCTTGAAAATAAATTATTTTTAAACAGTGGCATCCTTCCCAAAAAACCTATAAACATATTCCCAATTTTACACAGGCAGCTTTCAGGAAGAAAAAAAGCCAAAACAAATAAACACATCAACAAACTCCTTATAACAAACAGCAGTATTTAACAGTTTTGGCATTTAAAATAAACTAAGATTTTGAGCTAATGATTGCAAAAAAAAATACTTAATTTTATTGTTGATTTCCCCAGACTTTCTCTAAAGCTTCTAAATTTTACAAGTAATCTAATTTAAGTATGTTGATATGAATGACTTATTATTATCTGATAGGTTGATTAAATTCTAGTCTTGCAGTTGGAATTAGATGCTGGTTTAATGGCATTTTTATATCGATGCCATATGATCTGTATTGTAATACATTCCTAATCAAAAAGTGAAAATGGATGATGAACCATCTGTTAGAATTAACTGAAAAGAAAGGCTAAGATAGTTCTTTCTAGAACTAACATATTTCTTTTTAACAGCTTCAGCTCCCACTTTTGCACTAAATCAGATGAAGAAAACTATAATTATTACCAGAGGCCAAGAAGTTGTCATTGAGTGCAAACCACAAGCCTCTCCAAAACCAACCATCACTTGGAAGAAAGGAGACAAAGTAGTAAGAGAGAATAAGAGGTCAGTAGTCCCTTCAGTAAAGTACTTAATGCAGTTACATTTACTACTGTGGTTTCATGTGGTTTCATGGCAAATGACAAGAGGAACATATATGGTGTATATTTACAAACGTTCATTTATAGTAGAGTTACTGGATAAGTTGATTAGTTTGACAGTGGTGAAATTATCTTCCCTACAGTGAATTAATGTTGTTATTGATTTTGGAATCAAAGCTCTGGTGGGTTAAACAATGATGCAGAAAGGGTTGAAAATATTTTCCTTTTTGTTTATTCCTTGTTCTTCATTTCTGACATTCTGCATTAAAGATATGGAGGTGCTACACATCTTGTGGCTTGGGAGATTAAAAGTATGTAGGCTGAGATTGCTGTGGTGGTGATATGAGAACATGACATTGGTTTAAAGATAGTTTAAAGGGGGTTAATTAGCTGTTGACAACGCGGTACTGTCCAATGTCTGAACAACATTGCACAGAAGAACAATACAGTTATGCAGTAAGATTCAAGTGTATAGTAAATCATTCTGGTACTTTTAATGGCATATCTGTTTAACAAGCTCCCTTTGATAAATTCTGTCCAGCTGTGTGTTTTAAACATAGTTTAAACAGCTGCAGTTCAGATGCCAACTGCAATTGTATTACACAAGATAACATTAGAGCAGTTTTGCCAGCCTTAACATGGACTTTAAGAATACACCATAATGTTATCTTATCTTTCTTGCAATGTTATATGAATGGACCACTTACACTGACTTACATGGCATTGCTCTGAAAGATAAAAGCAAGTAAGGTTGTGCTTTTATATAATAAGTGCATCTGTTTTGGTCAGCAGTGGAAGGTGTATGTTATCATGTTTAATCTTTCAAATGGCAATTTAGTTTCATGTTGTTTGTTTTGTCCTGAAAAAGAAAAAGGACAATATTTCATATGATTTTGACTACTTTTGGGAAGATAAGGCAATGCATGACAACAACTATTTTACCCATTAGTTTATAGATGTGGTTTTGGAATAGTATAGTTTGATCATGCAGATGTGTAGATATAAGGTAAAGGAAGTTATAAGGTTGATATTAATCACACCAACCACCACTGACAGAGATAGATTTGTTGGAGTTCTGTAAAGATCAAAAAAGAGAGACTTCTGTTTTGTCTGGATTAGTAAAAGCTATTTACCTTTATTAATCTTCTATGTTTTGATCAGACCATTTTAATCTAACATTTCTTTTTTGTCTTGTCAGCTGATGTCTGCTGGTGACAAGTTATAGTTTAGAGTTAACAGAAATACCTTTGATTAAACTCAGCTTCATTATTTCTTAGTATAAAACCAAGATTTAGACTGTAGTTCTATAGCATGTATCCAGGGCATACAGTTAATTATATGAAATTTCTACTCACTCTGGCTGATCTGACCCCTTTGTTCCTGCTATACAGTCATGACTTTGATGGTATATTTAATGTTAAACAAAAAGGGCCAAATTCTCCCCTCTGTTGATGTAGTAGAGCTATATCTGATTTGCACTGGTGCAACACCATGCGGATTTCAGCTAATGCCTTTATAAACATTGGCTGCGTCTAGGCTGGCATTATTTTGCGGAAATACTTTTAATGAAAAAGTTTTTCTGTTAAAAGTATTTCTGCAAAAGCGCATCTAGATTGGCACGGATGCTTTTGCGCAAAAAGTGCTTTTGTGCAAAAGCATCCATGGCCAGTCTAGACACGATTTTGTGCAAGAAAGCCCCGATCGCCATTTTAGCCATCGGGGCTTTTTTGCGCAAAACAGTTCTTCCCTGTCTACACTGGCCCTCTTGAACAAGTATTCTTGCACAAGAGGGCTTTTTCCCAAGCGGGAGCGTGAAAGTATTTGCACAAGAAGCACTGATTTTGTACATTACAAAGTCGGTGCTCTTGCACAAATTCAAGTGGCCAGTGTAGACAGCTGGCAAGTTTTTGCGCAAAAGCAGCCACTTTTGCACAAAATCTTGCCAGACTAGACGCACCCATTGTGTTTCCAGTTACAGGAAATCAAAAAGCACGTTAACAATAAGCTAGATGAAGTGTACCAAAATAATAAAAACAAAAAAAGCATAGAAGTAATGCTACTTTCAGAAAAATAAAATGTGTACTTTTTAGCATACTTGGTATCAGTCTGTAAGTGATGGGAAAAGTGAAGAAGACTCTGAGAGTTAGTATAAACACATATCTGATGCTTTATGATACATAGCCTAACTTTGGTCTAAAAATCTCATGAGAACAGGATTTTGTGTTAGATTTCTGATGCTTGCTGGTTCCCGCTGGATTGAAAATACCATGGTGAAAATAGCCTCTTTCATTTTATTTATGCTGCTTAGTTTTGACCATGAGTAGCAAGGAATATGAAGAGGTATTCAAGATAAAAAGAGCTTACTGAACTTTTCCAACTCTTAGAAAGATTTGGTTTGTGTTCTATTTAGCTTTCAGTGAAATGTACAGAATAGTTCTTCAGCTAGTCAGAGTACACCTCTCTCTACAGTTTATACCTACGGGCAAAATCAGTTACAGAAGTTCTAATTTCTGACCTTGTGTACTGAATTCCTTTAAAAAAATCATAAAGTCTATTTGAAGAGGAGAGGCATGAGGCCATCACATGGAGGACTGATGTGTTGGAATAAATGTTAATTTTATAAGGAAGATGCTTATTTTTTCCCATGCTTTGGAGGACTCTTTTGGGGGAATTGTTCAAGTTATTTACCACACATTTAAAGAAACAAGAGAGAGAGAGAGAGGAAGGAAAAATTCTCTTGTTTTGGTGAATACGTTCAATTATGTTTATAGTTAACTCCTACATATAAAATGTTTAATTACCTGAGACCCAGACTGTGAACCCCTTACTTCCACTGGCAGCAGTATTCCTTGTAAGCTGCACACTTGTGTAACTGTTCAGAAGAGATTCAAATGCTGCTCAGCTGATTAGAAGAGCACCCACAACTAGTTTTTTTGTTTCTATGTGGGGTGTACATTCACACCTATTTTTCTCTCTCTCTCTCTCTCTCAAATGCTACTACATGGGACATTACACCACACTAAGTAGGTTACACTTAAATATTACGGGAACTGGTGTCAAGTAAGCACTATCATGAGTAGCCACCATAAATGTTTCCATTAATTATTTGAGTATAGTTTGCAATAGTGTTAAAAACTTGTGCTCATCACATATGCTTTGACTCCTTCACTTTGTATGGTGGAAAAAGATAATATTGGCACTATATACCCTCCATAGTTCTTTGTGCTTAAGCTATTAATCTGCATTTGGCTTTTTTATTTCATAATAACTTTGTAAACATTTCTGGAAAAGGGAATTAACTCTGGACCAACATGGCAGGGTTTTGGTCCAGTGTAGGCTTAAAACAGAAGGTTTTTGGTTGCATTTGAGACAATTTAGGGCTAGAACTTGGATTCAAATTCTGAAAAAGAAGTTCCGGGCTCTTATGACATCGTCTTATAAGGTTTTGGTCCCAACTGCAGATGTCATACAAGTTCAGCTATCCTTGTAGGATTTCAGACTGCAGACTCATGCAGGAAACAAGGCCCTTCTCATTTGTTATCAAACACACACTCAAACTCTAGCCTCAGATTCTGATCAAGATTCCCTGCTGAAATTCAGAGGACTGTTCAGATTTGATAATCCAGTTTGGAGCCGATTATTCATGAAAACTAGCTTGGTTCTAGTATGTAAAGCTGCAGAAGCAGTAAAATAGATGTTTTGATCAAACTTTTCAAGAACACACTAAACCTTGAAAAATTCAATATAATTAAATGGAATCTGCTGTCAGTTACTCTGATATAAATCTCAAGTAACTCCACTGAAGTCAGAGATCAGATTCTCGGCAAATGTTATTTATAAATGTTTTAAAATATCATTTGTGCAGGCTTTTGTAAGCCAGTGAAGTTTTATAATGATTTACTACTTTGCAAATTTTAGTAAGTCATTTCTCTGTATACCATAATCTCTTTTTCTTCACTTTCTAAGGTCACCTACTTTTTTCCCCTAGATTTATTCTTCCAACAGTGACTGTAGCTGATGTTTAAACCGATATGCTTGGGGATTTGTTGATGTTAAAAAGCTTCATAAATCTTTGTTCATCTGTTTTTGTTCTCTCTTTTACATCCAAAGTATTCTTATTAAATTCATGGATTTTCACTTTAGCTCATTATTTCCATTAGAGAGCTATTAAATATATTTAAAATAAATTCATCCGAAAGAACTGTAGTAGTGCAAAAATGCTATTGTTCTGCTGCAATATAAAACTTAATTAATGTATTTTGAAATGTGACATAAAATGATCAAGACTTTTTTGGGAGGGGTGTAGTAGGGTTGACAATCACTTCCCGCAAGCACCTCCTGTTTGGCCAAATGTGGTGTCAGTCCCTGCAATACACGAAGTTCGAAAGGGATGCCGGAAAAAGTGAGACCACAACTCGGGGTTGTAAAAAGAAAAACTGATTTTATTTTAATGATGACTCTGACACCTAATGACTGGGAACTCAGTCACATGCACGGGCTCCAGATAATTATCAGAATAAAAAATAAGCAAATCACCAGACAATATAAAACAATTCCCTGAGGCTTTTCTATATCACAATAATTCTCAATAACTGCCCAGGGGTTAGGAACAGTTGAATTGATACTGATGTTGTCCATAAAGCTAACTATTTACACTATTTTATACAAGAGAACAGTTAAAAACCTTAACAACAACTATTTGTAAACTTACACAATGACTCTTTAACCACTGTCACTTGACAGACAATAAGGGCAACTGAAAAATCAATCAGGACAGGGATAATGGCAGGGGAGGGGTGTTATACCAGTTCTGGAGACAGCAGGAACACAAGTACCAGCCACATGATCATAAATTGTCTCCACTCGGGTCGACCAACTCGGAGTACGCTCAGTAAGACTTGAGAGCGGGGGCTGGAAGGCGGCTGGGTGATCAGACCAGGCGTTCACACGATGCGATTCCCCACT